CTCAATAATGTCAATGTCCAATAATGAAGAAGACAAATGTGAGGCTTCAGTTCCACATCTTAATACATATTTGACTGGTCCACTTCATCACTGAATGAACGCGATTCATTAAAGGCATTGTCAAAGTAGGTCGAGATACAGATTCTGTTACGTTTGTATGTCTTGCGTGCCCAGGTAGCCGCTCAATGCAGAGCAGCCATATTCACAGGCATAAATCGGGTCCTGCCCATGTGAAGAACGTTAAGGCATGGGTGGTTAAGCAACAGGCAACCCAAACGTCTAATTCGTTCATCAACCATGAGCAATCTCATATAAACTCAGACCCGCCGAGTCCTGATGGCCATGTTCCTGCGGAAATTGATGACATCGACATCCAGATCGAAGATCCGCAACCTAATTTTGTTCGAGATAGGCTTGTAGAACTGTGGACACGAAACCATTCAATGTTTTTTGATTCTCCAGAGGTCAGTGTTCATAGTGGTGAAGACAATCCAATTGGCAACATCGACATCAATTCCCTCTCCGATGTTGACGAGGATGAAAGCGACGGCCCTGAGGACGAGCACGAAGATAGCAATGAGCCGGATGATTCATGGTACCCTTTTACATGTCTTGAGGCAAGTTTCGTGTGATAAACTATCATCACATATCGCACATTCTGACCTCGTGATAAATGCAGCAAATGGTTGGATTCATGGTATTAGGTTCCTCAAGGGCAATTTTGTCCCTCTTACAATACGGAAGAATGCGGTCATTCTTTGGACTCCTTGGAGTGAAGCTGCCCGCGTACAAGACCGTTCAGAAAGTGCGTCGACAACTCAAGACCAGGTTCCAATTCAATGTGTCAGAAACGCTCAGTCCTTTAGATAAACCATGCTTTGGTTTGCAAATAAAACAAATAATTAAACAGGCAAGTATATGATTTGCATTAAGAGCGCGCGCAATAATCTAACCATATCTTGGCACAGGAACTCGCAAATCCTTATGTATCAGAGTTTCTGGAGTTTATGCCCTCTTTACCCAAAGACGACACCAAAGTGTTCTGCCTGGCCCAATCTCAGAAGTGGCGAGAGGGTCTTGACGCCGATGTCAGGGTGCAAATGGTTGAGCACGCAAACACTCATTTCTATCTTCACGAACCAGTTCAATTAGATACACAAAGAATTGTAATTCCTTTCTACATGTATAAATCTGGAGAAGATGTCTTTGCAAAATGTGTATTTGCACATCTGAAATGGGAAAACCCTCATATCCGATTGGAATTCCAACATGTTTCAGATTTCAACTCTGAGTTGTTTACCACAATCAACGTTAAATCTTTCTCTAAAGTATTTGACGAAATTGTTATGCGTGACGGCCGCCTCATGAAAGAGTTATGTAGTGGCGTTATGTACAGTTAGTTTGGTTTTATGTATATATATACCTTGACATTTTGACAACGTTGATATCGCTAACTGTTTTTGTGTTGGTCGTTTCAGGAAAAGACGGAGGCACTTGCACTGAGGTACCGACAACTAATTTGTGGCGAGAAAAAGCGAATGGTCGAATTATAAGGCATGTACCCTTGGTTTTGTACTGTGACAATCTGTCAGGCAACAAATCAAAGCGCTGGAATAAGCATATAGCTTTTTACTTCACGTTGGCTTGACTGCCTCCGAAAGTTTCCAATCAGGAATACAATTGCCACTTTGTGACAACCTCGAACACGGCTGGAGCGTTGGAGTTGGCAGATCCAGTGGTAGACGAATTGAAGTGAGTTGGCCAAAGTTTATAAGTTCACACCACTTAAATTGAACATCTATATGTTGTTACAAACCAGCAACCTCATTACCAACGGCTTTGTAGCCTACGATCACAAGGCTCAGGCGGAAGTACTCGTGATGACATCTGTGCTATGTCATCTAGGTGACTCACCCATGCATGCCGAGGTGACCAATACAATGAACCCAACTACCTCTCTCTCACCTTGTCGAGTATGTCACCTGAAAGCGAAGTCTCTGATGGACAAACGGTCCTCAAGGTACATATGCAATTTCATTGGGGTTGACGAACTAGGCAGGCAAGAGTCACTTCACAAATATTAATTTGAACAGCTCGCCAGTATCTATCTCTGACCTTGTCTTTTTGATCTTGTAGGCAAGACTACGAACGCGCCAGTGGTCGGAAACTATCAACAGTACTAAGGCCCTTTGGGAATTATCTCAACGCCCAGGAACCATTGGCCAATTCAATACAAAGTCGACTGAACTCGGCGTGAAGGATGCACTTAACCTGGTTTTTGTTAAAATGGAGCAAGATCTCCAAAGGGATTCTTCAGTAACAAACGCCCAGACAGCTGCATTTTGCCAAGAGCTTGACGAAATTTTTGGGGAGCGTCTGTTCAACCCGTTCCTACGCTTAAAAGGTGATATTATTGTTTTAAAGTTTTATAATTGGTTGATTCTATTGACATTGTGTTCTGAAAGGTTTCGATGGCCATCGCGATACCCCAGTTGAGGTATTACATGTCATCTTATTAGGTGTAACCAAGTACTTATTGCGGCACCACATGAGCTCATGTTCCGCAAAAGACAAAAACGACATCTGGGGTCGTTGGAGGTCTTTCAACGCTTCAGGTTTGAACATTCCAGCCATTCAGCCTAAAGCAATGATACAACATTTCCTCAGTTTGAACGGAAAGGAATTTCGAGTTGTTCTTCAAGCGGCCCCTTTTGTTTTTTTCCACAGTGCGATGACAAACGAAGAACGCGAGACCTGGACTGCCCTATCCCACCTCGCTCCCTACATATTTCAAACTGAAATTTCCGACATTAAGACCTATCGAAAGGAGCTGGAGACCCTTGTTAGAATATTCTTGAAGTCAATAGTACAACTCACGGCTCAGTGGTGCAACAAGCCTAAGTTCCATATGATAATACATTTATGTGAATCTATCGAAAGATTCGGGCCTCCATGTCTTTTTGCTACCGAAAATTTTGAGAGTTATAATGGTAATACTCAAGAATATTCTTTACACTCTAATCATCTGAGTCCCGGTTCAGATATCGCCAATTCTATGAACAGTTATCGGCTCATGAGGGCTTTATCCGCGGGATCTAAACTTTATGATCACCTATCTAAAACCTATGTACAAGCGGGTTTGAAGGTGCAGCAGATTTTTCAGAATAATTTATTGTTTCAAAAGGCCTTAGGATTCAATTCTGCATGGAATAAGGAGAATTCCATCGGCATCGGTAGTACGTCTTTATTATCAATAATATTAATTGATGTCTTATACTTTGTTTGGACACTGACCGATTACGTTTGTTTCAAGGAAGGAAGAATCCTCAACCGGTGAACACGAGTGATATGATCCCCGATGACATTCGTGACGCTTTCACATCGAAAGAGTGGCATGTGCTCGATTTACTTACCTTTCAAAACAAGCAAAAAATCACTTCGGATGTTTTTATGTCTGTCAACAATATAAACACTAGCACTGGTAAAATTATTGCGCGTGTTGTTAATGTTTGGGGTGTGGGGGGGTGTTCCTTACAACAAATCAAGCTTGAGGCGCACGTTTGCCGATTAGGTCCTGTGAATAATTTCTATGGAATGCGTGAGATCAAGGAGACAAGTTCAAAAGTATGGATTAATCCTTCTGTAGGTCGCATCCTTTAACAGCTTGATCAATTGTTTTTGATTAATCATATTTGTAATAACCTGAAGAATATCGCTGGTATTCTTAATGTTCAACACGACTGTAACCACAGCAAGTGCCAAGTGCAGAAGGTCCGCCCGATCATGACAGAAAGGCGTGTATCAAAATCAATGGAATACACAGTTGTTCATGAACCAACTAAAGACTTCATTATCAATTCAGGCGCATTCTACTCTTCTGATCTTCATCGCAGCTGGGCAAACATACCATTCAACGAAGTAAGTCCGCAACAATGGACTTTAGCAGTAAAAACTGGCCTCGATATTTGGCAAAAAGACTTAAGCAAGAAAGACGAAATGAAAGAGAAAAAACGTCAAAAAGAGAAGGACAAATTCGCGGCTAGTCAATCCGGCCATGTGGGTAAGAAAAGGAAGGCCACAAATTGTAGCCCCACTCCGACCGAGGCCGGAACAGAAGGTGAACATGTGGAAATCCACTTAGCAGGCCCTTCCACTTGGTAATTACATTTGATGAATCATTCTGTTGATATTGTGTTTGTATTATTGTTGTATGATTATATTCAATAATGTTATATTCATTAACTCATTTTTCGATTTTTTTAACTATATAATCAATTTTGTTAATTACTTTTTCAACCTCTCATATCAATGAAATAGATAGTTCACAATTTTCGTTTTTTTTACTATATTTTCAAAATTGGTATATTGTTTAACTCATTTCTCGGAATTTTTTACTATATATTCAATATTGTTAATTATTTTTACTCATGTTCAACCTCTCACATCTGATTATTGTTAATTGAATCATATTCCTCTAAAATCCTTGGGTCTCAGACTATTTTGTTGGTGTTTGACCACTCACACCAACAAAAGAGGGAGATCAGCATGATAATCTTGATGAAGTGACGTCAAACCATTAAGAACACAACACCACATCAGAGTTCGCGCAGTCCTGAACGCACGCTTTCCTCTAAAATCCTTGGATCTCAGACTATTTCGTTGGTGTTCGACCACTCACACCGACAAAAGAGAGAGATCAGCATGATAATCTTGCTGAAGTGACGTCAAACCATTAAGAACACAACACCACATCAGACTTTGATCAAAAAGAAAAATCAGGTTAAGCAAAGGTTTCGAATTCCAAACGTTGGCAATTTTAGAGGTTGTGGATCCGACCACGGATCAATTTGATATTTAATGTGGGATCCATCCCATTCACCATCCGGCCCAAATCACTTCGAATTGTCAATATCTTTGAATTCTAAATATCCTCGTCATTTCAACTTCATCATTAAACTTCTTCAAATCTCCATACCATCAATCATATACCTTTATTATCAATGGCTAAAATGCACAACTCCAAAACATCCACTCGAACTATGGCTGAAACTGCCAAATCACCTTATGGTGATTCGCGCGCTCGTAACAATCCTCGGGCGGTACATCCAAATTCCACGACACCACCTTTGCCACACCAAGTTTCAGGAAGTCGCATCCAAATGATGCTAAATCGTTCCAGAAGAGCCACCGTTCCTGAAGTAGAAGACATTGCCGATAGCTCTATTGGCGACACTTCCATTTCCGAAACCGGACCTGACGATCTCAATGAATACAACTTCGAAAGTAGTAACAACATTGATCTCAACAGGCAAATCCAGATTGCGCTTGAAGAACGTAAGTTCTTGTATTGAGTTGCTTATAATCACTAATCGATATTATGCTGAGTACATGTATCATCATTTGCCTCATGTTATCTGTTATGGTACTTTTTGCATTTCACAGAGGCCGAGTTAGAAGACAACCTGGTATCCCCACAAGCCAGTGTACATATTGACAGCTCAAACAACTCAAGCAGCTCATCGAATGACAATACGACTCACTTGTCCGGTAGAAGATTGCAAATCTTCAATCAGATTGCGGGGCGGGCACACCTTGACGAGCAGAGTATGTCGCTTGGACGTTTCATGGGTAGCGTAGGAAAATTTAACTCACCAATGTAATCAACCACATATAATTAACCACCACATTCTGTTTGTTCACTTGTAGTTTGAAACACAAGACGACCAATTTATCGCCTGTATGGTAGCTGTATTAGCAACCCTTCAAGACGTCTCGAGTATCCGCAATGAGATCCTTGGTGCAATACGTACCAACCCACATACTCGAGGTGTTTCTACCCCAGATGTTGTCACTTGGAAAGCAGATAGTGCGGAACTGAAGGTAAGTGAATTGCTAATTTGTGTAATCACAAACACGTTGGATGAATATATATCTCATCAGTATCATATCTCATAGCAATGTATGCGATTATTGGCAACACAATCAATCTTAGGTGGCGGAGTTCAAGCTTATACTGCGCGTGTTGATCCTTTGGGAGGCACTGATCAATTACCTCTAGGTTTATATTCAAGAGTTATGGTAAGTCACACGGTGCTGATAAAGTGAAACAACCGCTGACGCATACGTACAGAGTGCCCTGTTATCCAATCCTAGCGAGTGGAAGAACAGAGTGCTTCCACCGGGATATGGATCGAACCCTGATCCCCGTCATACTCGAGCTTTGGAAACAACCCTCAACAATGTCCTAAAGGAGGTTTGCAAAAGTTTTGATGATGTGGTATGTATTTCTTCTTTTATCTGCTGGTACTATTGCTAAATCATAGACATAAACCAGCTTCTTACCCACATCAACCTTCCCAACCGAGTCAATTCTGGAGGACATGCAAATGTACCGGTGCTTGACACTGTTATTGTGAAGGTGAGACAAGGACAAACATTTGTCCGATGTAGAGTTAGAATAACATCTATGTATTACGTAGCTTTATCAGAAAGAACGCGGAATGATTGGCGGACGGGTTCGAGTGCGCGAAGAGATCCTGCAGGAGGTAGATCAATTGCGAACCTCACGTTACGCATGGCTGGTGAGTGTTAATAGGCAGTCAACAGTTACTCACAACATTAGTTGAATAAGACTTCCTTTCCGCGCGCCAGAGAATGCAAGCTATCCACTGGGGAATGAATTTTGCAGACTATGGAGGTCGCTCTTTTTGGAATGTAGTGGACCGTCAACTGGCTCATTTGCGTACACAGAGCACACGTTACCGTTATGCGTATGTCATTTTCAAAAAGCAGTACATTTTCTCCTACTGGCACTAATTTACCATTATCTCGTAGGTTCTTTATATTAGTATTGCAATCAGACCTTGAACGCATTGATGGCACGAAGACGTTTGACGGAATGAAGGAGACCACCAACTTCTCTTTGCCTACTGAAGCGCAAATTAACCACACGATGAACGAATTGAACCAGACATTTGGAGCAACGGTTCAACCTGATGAGGAGGCCCATGCCATAGTTACAGACAAGGCCGAACGAGTTTGTAACTGAATCATGATGATGAAAGCTTGTACCCTGCTTTCCGTGTATCTAATATGCTCATTTTATTCTTGTGTATATGTTCATTACTTTGCTTATCTGTCATTACCGTTTCATTGCTTTTCTTTAGTGTATATGTCCATTCACTTTCCTTACATTTATTTTGTTCATATGTTCATTTACTTTTCCCATCTGTCATTACCATTAGCAATTAATAGTTACAATATTTAAATTAAATTGAGCAAGCAACGTATATCAAACCGAAAGCGTGAATGGTTCCAAAATTAGGCATGAAAGTAAACCGATTTGCAACCGATGGTTGCAAAAACCCATGGCTTCCTAACCGATTTGGATAGTGGCTGAGTTTTCACGTTAGCTAAAAAATGGTTGGCAAACCATTTTTGGAAAAGGCGGTGGGCAGAAACTCAGGGGGAACACGGGGGGACAGGTAACCGATTTAAAGCGCGCGGTCTAAGGGCGTTGTGCCAACGTGACCTCTCTGCAAAAGAGAACCGTGATACAACCGGGGCCAAACACCGGTTTAATAACCGTTTTGGAGGGTTCGTGGTGTATGTACGTTGATACCATAGTACCCATGTCCCGATTAAAACAAGCTAGGGCGGTAATAAGAGCATCCGCACTCGTGCGGTAAATCGAGTGCGGTAAGGTTAAATTTAACGCAACCGCGGGGTCTTTTCCGCACCGGTGAACAATTAGCCCCGCGGTAGTTAATTTTTCATCAGTTTGCGTTAGCGAATTGGTAAATCTACCGATTGGCTAACGCATGCGGTAGCACACATCACGACCTGTTCACAGCAACTACAACTCCAAAAACTCAACTCAGCCCAATCTCCAATACCAAAGTCAACAACAAACATCGTCTTTTCACCTCTCTCACCCAGTCACATGAATTGAATCAAGACCTTTTAACACCAATCGATGTTTTTACGATTGTTTTTTTTGTTTTTTTGTTCTAAAATAGGTCGTTTGAAAATCTTCAACTCGACTTCAAACCAATCGAATCAATATGAAGAATTTCAGACTTCACATATGTATAGAGATAGATGAGAAAATTGAATTCTAAAGACTAATGACTGGAAGACTTTTAAGATCAAGAGATACAAACCAAACAGTTGAAAAAAGCTGAATCAAACATTAAAAAAAGTTTGGATTGGTTCAGATTGTTCATCTTTCTTGTGTAGTTTCAAATCTTTATAATTTTCACAAGATCAATAGATGTATTCAAATATAGCCTTTGTTTTCTTAAACTTGAAATCGTACTTGAAAAATTGAATGTTACCTTACTGCATGACCACTGTGGAGCACATGCATTATCGGTAAAGTTACAAACGTTACAGTGCTACTAACACAAACGAGTGCGAAATTTGGCTGAGTTTAAGTCATTTTTTGCTTAATGTAGCGGTTGTTACCGCACGTGACCAAGTTAACAACCGCAAACGAGTGCGGATGCTCTAAGGAAATCGCAACCTGATTCAGCTAATATACCAGTGATGAATGGTTCATAACGATCAAAGTACGTAGTAGAGGAAAGACATTTTTGAACCGATCCGAAGTCATCAAAAGCTGATTCTAAAGCGAGATAAGAAATATACATGCGATGGCTTAGAAAGCATAAGGAAAACCTCAAAGAGACTTCTTCAAATTCATTAGACCAGACTGTTGGATAATATTTCTTTTCAAAACGAACTTCAATCACGATAAAAGCTGGATGATCCGAGCTATGGAGGTCAACGAGATGATTGAAAGAGAAAGTAGGGCGGGTGAATATAATGAAATGGAAGATCAGGAATCGGATGTTTGAAATGGTAAGGAGAAGTAAAAAGAACGAGAACCGACTTCGCAGATTATATGAATGAAAATGGATTACCAAGAAGAGGTCTGTCTGAAGTCCGATGAGCGACGGTTCATTCCCGTGATTCACTTTACCCTTTCTGTTGAGTTCTTCCCTTACCCTGAGATCGATATATCCAAAACTTTCCAAAACAATCACAGTCATCAACTTAACTCAATCTTTACTTCCTTAAATTCTCGTGACTTTATCAATCGGGCCACTTCACCATCATCTCGGTATTTTACGATTCGCATCACACTGAAATCCTACTTGCGATGATCGGAAAGGCCCGGAATCGGATGTACAAACAATGTAAGCATGCTTATTCGATTCAAGGAAACTTGAACTTCAATACAAATGGATAAGTATCGAGCACGTTTTACAGTCTCAGTCATGATGGGCGGGTTGTTTTTCCTTCAAATGGTCAGTGTGGATTTTAGATGGGGGAAATCGTATTAAAAAAGCCTTACGACTATCACCGTTAGTACATATACTCATCAGAATGACCACACATTCTATTAAATCTCATCATATGCACTTCTCTTTCACCGCTGAACTAAAATCTGAGCTTGGACATTCGATATATGTCTCCTTGTGTTTCAAATCCCTCGATCCTTGTCACTTGATAAAATTGGCGGAGTACCTCCATAGTTAGGCTAAGGTAGATGAATCGCGATCTTATTGACGCCAGAAACCACTGTGAAACATCTCGTTACCACTGAATGACAATGATCAAAACTACATTAAAATACTGTTCAAAACTCATCTGGCGAGATTTCAGTCAAAAAGACGAAGCTGAAGCTCATCTGATGCGGCTTCAAATAAAATGTCACTAATTACTGAGTATAGCATAATGCTAAGCATTAGTTGTATCACCAGCCAATTAAACAGTCTTTTAACATACTCTACATCGTGGATTGATTTTATTGTTCAAGTCAGAAGAAAGTACGTAGAAAAACCAAATGTAAAAGATAACTCATAGGTAATCAAGTTTTGGGACAAAAATATGAACCTGAAAAGGAATTGGACCATTTTGAAATATGGAAATCGTCCATAAAAAATTCATCAAAGCCAAAGATGCGGCTAGTTTTGATTTTTCTCTCATTTGTACCCAGAGAGCTTTCAAGGAAATATCCTCTGGAAATCATTTTGAGCATATTGACCAACATGGCCTCCACCTAATCGTGGGGTCAAATTTTACTAAGATATCGTGGGAACTTAGAGGGCAAGGATCGCCATGGAGTTTAAACACGCATAATTGGAGTTGGGTTCCGGAATCCAAAGAAATCCTAACACACTATAATTGTAAGAACCTATAACGCTTGCTTGATATCACAGCTTGCATCCGAGGCTCGTAGCGGTTACCCGACTCGATCCCCGTGACTATGTGTAGAGTTGAAAGTTGGATGATGACTCAGGAATCAAATCGCACATCATTGACTCTTGAGTAAATAAATGACGAACAAAACACATCAAGAGGGTATGTGATTGAAACGGGGGTCATGAAAGTGCTCCACTTCAAGCTCGTGAGGGTGATTGAGTTGAGAAATGCGCTCATGGCATCATGTCATCCGTAGGTATGGTTTTGTGTGTACAGTTATGTCGGCGCAGATCGGGGGTTTATGAGGGTGATGAAGTTTAGAAAGGTAGAGAATTCGAATAAAGTCTTGGTTGCTCAGTTCTTAAACATCAGGATTATTTCAGATTTTGTCTAGTAAGCATGGATGATTTGCTCAGCTATAGAGCTGTGTGTGCGTTTGATGATGGATCAAAGTCTTACAAGTTGAGTGATTTTGACGTCATAAGTTTGCCGTCGAGAACGTTTGTCTCTGGCTGATGCCCATGTATGTGTTTTTTTTCGAGTGGATGAATGAAATGGGGTGGTATGGAAGAGAGAAGAACGTGTTGATTGGATTGATTGAAATGATATTCTTGATAGCTTTAATTTATTTAGACTAAACCCAATTTTAATATCTTCTTTAATCATTCATTCATCATGAGTCTCTGATCAGCGTCATCCAAACTTTATAAACCATCATTTAGAATCTCATCAGTCCCTTTGTCATCTTATCCAAACATCAAAGTACGTCATCAATCGATGAGGTTACCAACTTCTTCTGAATTGGTTTTCCTGTCTGATGATGAACTTTAAGATTTCTTTGGTATAAAAGCTGTGATACCTTTTGATGTTCATCTAGCTTGAGATCAGATATCCTTAAGAGTCTCTTTCTTTAGCCGTCTGTCTATCATCCTAAGTAAATATTACTTCATAAAGCTAGATTTGAATTTCAGTCAAGAAACTTATTCCTAGCCTACCTTCTTGACCATTCTCTATTTAGTGAAAGCTATTTACTTACCTTTTGATACCTTACATCATTCCCTTTGGTGTTTTACTTCATTTATAATCTCACTTACTCCTGTCATTCGGCATAATGACTATCGCTACTTCTATTCCACCTGTCTTGACTAATCCCCTTAAGGTCATTGATAAGAAAGCTTCGATGTTACTCAATGGATCTGACTTGAAAGCTACTGTTAAAGTTACGGATTCTGGTTTTGCAGTCACTGGTTCTGAAAAATTGGCCTATTCATTTGTCAAGATAGATGACATCTTTTCGATCTCTCATAATGATTTAAAATCTGTTTACGAGAATTGGGGTCGTTGTTTATTAGTCACTGATAAGATTGTATGGCAGTATTATAAAGAGCGTGTTGAGAAATATTTTAATCATCATGGTATATCATTAACTGTCAAGATCATGCCACCTGGCGAATTACACAAGGTTCGTGTCTCTTCCTCTTTGTGTACTATCGTCGCCTTTCATTATCCGCCGTAGTCCTTCACTAACATCTTTTTCATAGACCATGGATACGATGCTCTCCCTTGTCGACGCTTTCCAAGACTTTGGTTTAGTAAGAAAGGTAAATAGAAAATTTCTCACCCTGTATTATCTTTACAAACTGTTAGTTCTCATCAGCTTTCTGTTTCCAGGAGCCTGTGCTTGTATTGGGTGGTGGTTTAGTCACCGATGTATGCGGAGTTAGTAAAGATCACTTCAGCACTTCCTCGAAGTTGACTTTTGAGATCAAGCCAAGTTGATCAATTTCCTGTTATCATATTTTTTGATCCGCTTTCAGTACGCCTGTGCTTCGTACCGCAGAAGTTCAAACTTCATCCGCATACCCACTACCTTGATAGGCAAGCCCAAAAAATCCTCCCTTATAACTCGCTTTTTTTAGGATGTGAAGCCTCTCTTATGGAGTATGGTAATTTGACGAATTTTCGTCTTTGTGTCGCCCTTATTTTAGGTCTTATCGACGCTTCGGTATCTATCAAGGTGGCTGTCAATCATGGAAAAGCCAAGAATAGATTGGGTGCTTATCACGCCCCGTTGATCACCTATTTGGATTTCACGTCGTTGAAGACTCTTCCCAGTATGTATTTGTTCATCAATCCCTCCTTAATGTGCCCACATAAACAAACGGTCTGGATGTGTGCGCTGTGTTGCTGTCGTGATCAGAGTGACTGAAAAGAAAACCTCTGTCATAATTTTACAGCGGATCAAGTGCGAAACGGCTTTGCAGAGCTCATGAAGATCTCCTCGGTTGGTGATATCAGGATTTGGAGCTTGTTGGTGAAGTACGGTGTCGAGTTGATCGAAACCAAATTCGGAAGATCTGAGATTGCAAGTGAAAACTCGGGTCAAATCAAAGAAATTGCAGATGAGGTCTGCGACAGAGGTATCAAACTGATGCTTGATGTGAGTTTGAGCATGGTTTGGGATCACAGCATTATTTCCCTTTGACTAATCTCTCGACTTCTTCTGTTAGCTCGAGACGCCCAATCTACACGAGATTGGTCTTGATCGGGTCATTGCGTTCGGTCACACGTGGTGTGTATCCTTGATGCCGATCTCGCTGCTGCGATTCCCAACTGATGGAGTATTCGAATAGGTCACCAACGTTAGAGCTCAAACCTAAGCTACCATTAAGACATGGACATGCCATTGCCATAGATATGGCATACTCTGCTACTCTAGCTTGGAGCAGAGGTTATATAACTGAAGCTGATAGGGATGAAGTCCTCGACTTATTCCATGGTGTCGGTCTCTCTGTTGACCATGAATTGTTTGATGATGATTTGATTGAGCAAGGGACGGCAGCCATCTTGTTCGTCATTTGATCTTCTCTCTTATGGTAAAAGTGAAGCTTACCATTCTCCTCCCTTTTCATTCACGCCCATTTTTTTATGTGCGAAAACATCTGCACAAAGAAAAACTCGAGATGGTAAACAACGGTTTGCGGTGCCCAAGCCGCTCGGAAGCTGTGTTTTCATCAACGATGCTTCCCTAGACGAGTTGAAGTCTGTACTCAAGACACACAAGCAGATTGTCAGTGAAAAGTATGGCTCTGGAGTCGGTATTGGGTGAGTGAGATGTTTCGAGAGGCGCTTAGTGTGTGTTGCATCAATCATTTCAAAGCACGCTTACGCCTTTCCCGTTTTGAAGAGCTTACGTCGATGCAGGAGATCTTGGTGAAGATCCAGATGCCTATGCCAATGGAGTTCGATCGAATGGTGCTCTGGCTTCCGATCAATCCACCACACCCTCGGCCGAAGTGGCTTCAAAGAAAACATCAACAAATGGACATATCTGAACTTCTGCAAAGCTTCGACAAAAGAACAAAACATTAAGCCGGGCCTCTATAATCAGTCTATTTAAATCTGAATGTCTCCAATGTCCCTCAAAGTCGATATAACCGTTACCTTCTTCTACTTCCCCTGTATTTTTTTCTAGAGATATGTGTTACTCTATGGAGTCTATCATACTAAGATATGTACTCCTCTTGTCTGATATCACCTCAAGTAGCTCTGGTGAAATCAACCACGATTTCCTTCTATGTAACCCTATGAAAGTCATCGTCTAGCGTCATACCATGCGAGCACCCGCCCGATGATTTTTTTTGAGAATCCTTTGAGCCTTACACTGAGCATGACTGAACTCACTTTGATCCACTCACTTTGGCCATCTAGAGATTCATTTCGTTCTCGCTTAGCTTTAGAAGCTCGGAGCTTCGCACTATCATGAGGGGATGACCAGGATCAAGCTAGGTATCAGCCTCGTAGTCAAGTTGGTTCACGTCTAGCCTGTGAAGTTTGAACTGAGGCGGCTAGCAGTAGCACGCTACATAAAGTCAATGATCCTCTGATCAAAGTGAATGCACATCCTAGCCCTTTCGGGGGTAGCCTGATCACTTGACTCCACAGATCCCCTACTCTCAACCGAATTGAATAGATCAAATCGAGCCTGAACAAGACTCTGAGACTCTCACCTGCACCCGCTCTCTGGAATCAACTTCCATGCACAAAGATGACAAACCAAGAGAGATTTCTTGTCTTCAAAAAACACTTGAGATATTGAAAGATACATTGTAGTAGGATCTAAGATCTCCAGATTGTAAGATACTACGATGACCTGAAGACATTTTGTTAATTGATCGCAAATCACATGACTGATAGACTACCGAATTTTTCATTGTAACCTTCGACAGTCCATTTACCCTTCTTGACCATAGTTTCAACAGTCTTGGCAATTCTAGGTTCAGCCTTATCGATATCAGAAAGCTATAATTGGTTTCGATTTCAAAAAAAATAGAAACAAATCAGTAAGATTAAGTTAATTGAAGTGGATGAGGAAAAAATGACATACCGTTAATTCTTCGAATGGACGAGCTCCTTCGATGTTCTTAAGAGTAACATCTAAGGCTGCTAACTCTTCTTGAATCTTTTGTGAAGCTTCGGTAGCCGAGGAGACCTGATAGATGAGTTAAAAAGATGTAGACCGAGTTAGATTTGAATTCAAATGATAGTCTCAGCGATGAATGATGAGGAAAAGGATACTAACGGCCTTTGATTCGAAAACGTCAATAGCTTTAATTTGAGTAGAAACGTCATATTCAACAGGAGCAAACGATTTCCAAACTGATTCTAATTTATCTACCACAGCCGTATTCTTTTTTAAAACTGAACGATAATGATTAAAATCAATGTCTGATTTAGTTGATTTTAATGAAGAGAGAGCTGCTCTAGCTGCTGTATTACGAGCTCTGAAAGCACTCAATGATTGTAATGTTGATTGTGGTAGGTTTAATGCATTGGCTACTCTAGCGAAGTCTACTGCTGCACTGATAAACCAAATGAGCAAGAATTAGAAAGATTTCGGGTCAGTATATGTGAGATCTTCTGGAGGTTTTGTATTGGATGATTTGTGATATGATATTCGTAGACATTTGGTTGATCACTCACGTCTTTGCCGCCATCGTATTCTATGCGTCGGATGTAAGAAATTGATTGCTTGATTGAGATTGGGGAAGTAGAGAGGTTGGTGTTGAGGAGACGTTGAAGAGGATTCAGTCGATCAGTACCAATCCAGTTCGATTGTTGGGATCTGCCTATAGTGATACGTTCTGTCCACATGCTTATAATGAGTATTGTCTTCCGAGGTGCGGGGCTTTTCGGGGATGAAACGGTTTTGACTTAGACTTAACCCTAAACCTAAACAACCACACTGATCGCAAATTTGAAGCTGTTTGAAAAGTTCAAAGAGCTTCATGGATGATTGCACGATTGCTTTGGAGAATCTTTTGAGGAGGAATGTGTAGTAAAATTTTCAGGTCTCAAAGAGTTCTTACATTGGCATTGAAGATTGACAAAATCACTGACGATGCTGAACACAATCAATGAGAGGGGCCATTCAAGGTGAATGTGATGTGCCTTTAGAGTAGTCATAACACGGTGTTGATAAATCCAATTTACAAAATGAAAAATGAAAGTGCAAGGAAACAAAGCAAAGAGAAACACAGTATGTGAAGAAGTCTTCAATTTTTCTGAATCTTTGGCTTATAAGAGAGAATCACGAGAATGGTCAAACATTTGTTCCATTTTTGTGGTCAAAAAGATTCACACTGTCTGGAATTAGATTGCAAAAATCTTGATGCACCACCACATTCAGACGATTCTGAAGTTTGATACTTAATGGAGCTCATATCTGCTTCAGATCAAAGTGTCACCGGAGGATTTGAATACTGTGAAGTCGAGGCGTGATCAATGATCTGAGAAAAGCCAGGTCGATCTTGCAACATTTGAGTGTAAATGTCAAAATTCGGGATTTTGTCAAGAGAAAGAGTGTTGAGATGAACTTCCACCGGAGATGATTGACTTGTGGTCCGGAGAATTGCACAGAATTGTCAACATTGAAAGAAGCTTCAAGACCATGGACCATTTTGGAATGAAGATAACCTTTGAGCTCAAAAGAGGTTGCGAGATCAAACTGTCCGTCCTAATGAACAGAGACGTGACAGTCAACAAAAGTTATGTACTTCTGGGTTGAAATTCAGAGAAATATCAAAATGCTCATCCTCATACTCGAAAGAATTTTGTAACAAGAGGCTAATATTTCCAATGTGAGATTCAAATGATTTTTGACCCCAATCTTCGACAAGGTGTAAGGTCCTGAAGCCACATTGAGGTGATTGTAAGAAATGCTACGGGTCAAATCACTGGGTGAGTATATTGTAGATATAGGTGGTCAAGGTTCGGATGAAATGGAAGGTGTTGGATTTGATTCAAAAGAAATGATTTCAGAGAATCTGGATAGGTTGAGTAACATTTGGTTATGGACCTCAAAGTGCGGGGTGTCCTCTTGAGAAAGAGGTACAGGCTGACAGCACTACATAAATTGATACCTTGGACCAATTTTGCCTCATCCTGAACCTCAAAAGAATAGTCGAGGCACTGATCAGGATGAAGTTGTTTGTCTAGTCTTAGATCAAGTGAGCTTTCGAGGTTGAATTCATGACGTCATTGCGACTGACCAGACTGTATTTACCTTACTGACATTTAGGCACGGCACAAATGGTCCTTCCGCTTCCTACTTCAAGAATCAACACCGCAAGTCAGCGACCTTCAGCGACCTACCAAATGTAAAAGAGCTCCACCGTAAGGTGAGATCGATGAGTCAATTCAGAAACAATATCTCTTCCATTTAAAGTCCATTCATGCCTATTTTTCAAGACAAACCAATAACTGAAAACGCGCCATACTCACCAATACGCATCAAATATGTATGTATCGAAGTTCCAGTCTCTTTGAATCGATTAAGCCCACCTGGATTGTTTGTGCATCCGATCTCGGGCTTTTTGATCGTCGCAATGTCCAAGGGTGTTTGCGCAGTGGTCGATTCATAAAGTCAAAATTGAGTTGAGTTGATGACTGTGATTGTTGATAAGGTTTTTACAAATTCGATCAGGGTATAACGAAGGTAATCTAAGCAAAGGGTGCGGTGGATCATGAGAATGGAAAGATAGTCGATTAGCAGTCATATACCTCTTCTCGATTTAACTATTCGATATGCCTTTTGATTAGGATATCGGTAAAATTATCAAACCTCCTTGAACCAAAGGGAAAGGTTCAAGCTGCTTCATCATTCCTTAAATCATCTTTTTTTTCATCATCGTCGCTCATGATGACGGAAAATAAAACTTTTGATGATTCTGTACCATCACCTTTCATCACATTAGATCTTGCTCACGCTTACAATCAATTTCAATCTAATCCTACTTTCTCCGTCAATCATCTCATTGACCTGCACAGCGTGAACCATCCAGATTTTATTATCGTTGGATTTCCTTTAACCACGAAATACCCTAAATCTGCCTCAGGATGGTGTACTGAATCTGAAGGTGTCTTATATTTTAGTAAGTCAACTCTTTAATCAGATTTCGCTCTGTGTCCCTTCGTCTAGTCGAGGTGCTTTACTCATGTGTAGTGTCTTTATTTTTCATCTGCGTTTGAACAGCTTTTCGATTACTCCAGCTTGCTTCAAATCGATTTGCGAATTACCTTGCTTCACACACTTCTTTACCTCTTCGAACTCAATCTAATGGATCCGAACAATTCACCATCGGGTTGTTAGCGGAATCAGGTCCAGATTTCCTTATCACCGTTTTGGCTTGTTTCAGACTGGGTCTTACCATCTTATTATTAGCGTATGTGGAATTCATGATCAGTTTACCTTGATGTTGTTCGAATGCATCTTTGATCACACTCTGAATCAACCGAATCTAAAATTTGTCTTTTCTTGATTACCTTCATGTAAAACTTTGGCCCTTCCGCTACTTTTCAGTCCCCAGTTACCGACCGAGCATGTCAATCACCTGCTCAAAGAAACGCATTCAAGTCATCTGCTTGTTTTTGAATCTAATTCCATCAAACTCGACGAGTTGCGCAAAACACTTACAGGTGTGGAAATCGTCAACCTTTCTTATGGAGTGACTTCAATAAACCCAAACGACCTGACCGAGGAAATACCCGAACCTAAGCGTTGGATCTCTTACGAAGAAGAAGGATCTAGGAACGCCGTGATCTTTCACTCTTCTGGTACAACTGGATTACCCAAACCGATCAATACTTTACATGAATATTTGACATCCAATTTACCAACAACATTAAATGAAGGGACTTCTTCATTTTGTACTACACCATTATATCATGGTGGATTTTCGGATTTATTTAGATCTTTAAATTCTCTTGATCCTATATGTTTCTTTGCTTTAGATTCATTACCTATCACTTTTGATAACATTTATAAATCTATTCAAGTTTGTGCTAAATCAATTGGACAAACTCAGAAAAATGTCTCAAATGTCCACCAAATCAATACTTTTTTAACAGTACCATATATATTACGTCTTATTAAATCAAATCCTGATGGCATCGCATTACTTCAAACGATGAAATATGTTTGTTTTGGTGGGGCTTCCTTAGAAGATACAATTGGTGATGAACTTGTGAGGGAAGGTATCAATTTGGCGTCCAGATATGGAAGCAGTGAATCAGGATGTAAGATTTTAATGAACTGTGTACTGAATTGTAAAATTTTATTTATCGCTGATATGACTTATATAATTTGGTGATCATGATTTTCGGTTCAAGTTCTTTTGAGCTCTTATAGAGATTTCGAAAGTGACAAAGATTGGAACTGGTTACGAGAGCCATTGACACCAATTGGAGACAAGACAAGAACGTTTCAAAAGATCGACGATTCGACCTATGAATTGATCATCAAAAAAGGATGGCCACAAATGGTGAGAATGTCATATTTTAATTCAATCTTTGTTTTAATATTGTATTCACATGATGAGCTCCATTTGAATGCCTATCAGGCTGTTCATAACATTCCCAATGGCGATTTTGCTACTGGTGATTTATTTGAACCACACTCAAGCAAACCCAGGACGTGGAGGTATCTTGGAAGAGGAGATGATATTATTGTCTTAGTGAGTCTATATATATCTAAAATGCATCTGATTTTAGGATAGACTTAACTGAAGGATCTCTCATTCTTGTGGTTTCAAATCAATCATACATCTACATACATTATCGAACCAATCTTGAAAGTCCAACGGGGAAAAGTTGAATCCCAATTTAGCAGAAGAGATCTTGCAAGAAGAATCTGATTTGGTTTCCTCATCTTTGATATTTGGTTCTCGTCGTACTCATTGTGGTTTAGTAGTATTATTAGTTTCAGATTTTGGAAAATTAGACAATTGGAAAGGAAGATGGAATAAATTATTAGAGAAGGTTAATCGTCAACTACCTAGTTTTGCTCAAATTTGGCCTGAGATGGTCATTTTTCTTGAAGCTGGAATTGATCCTTGGCCTACAAGTAGTAAAGGATTGAAACAAAGGAAACAGATAAATGATTTATACCTCGATAAAATTGATGGTTTATATTCCTCTACTCATATGTCTTCGAAGGATCTAGACATGAAACTAGATTACCAAACACTCGATGAAGAAGAACTGAAGAAATTAATCAAAGAAACAGTCACAGAGGCTTTGTTCGATCTGACAGCTGAAGATCAGAGTTTGAACAGCCGTCAAGCTTCTATGGCTTTGAAAGATGACGATCAAGATCTATTCGAATTTGGTTTGAACTCATTGAAATCAATTCGAATCAAGATGTCCCTGCAAAGAGTTTGTCCCTGAATTATCTGTCTTTTTTTCGCAAAAATATCATTGTTCAACTTCAATCTTTTCTTACCTCTTTTGATCTTTTTCGCCTTGATTCTGTTTCGATTTGATGAAGATCTTCAACCTTGATGCTCAGTCACTTCCGATGAACTTTGTCTACGAATATCCAACTGTGTCAAAGTGAGTATTCCTGGATGATTTAATTTTGGAGTATCATTGGAACTCAATATACCAAATTGATACTATTATTCCCCAGATTGAAGAATTACTTCATCAACTTGAAAGGAAATGCCAACTTGGAACAGTCTAGAGTGATTAATGATAAGGGCCATGACCACGATCTGATGAGATCTCTAGTGCAGAAATATAGCAGTTTTGAAATACTTCCACCTCTCCCTCGCCTTCCCGTTCAGGATGGAGATAACGGTAGAGGTAGTGGTGTCACTGTTGTAAGTCTGTCTTTGCTCATACAAGTATAAATGCCATAGGATAACAAGTTTGTTCTGCTTTGTCTGATTTTGTGTCTGATTTTGCCTATCAATGGTAGCTTTTGACCGGCGCTACTGGAAGCCTCGGTGCTCATATACTTAAAAAACTATTAGAAAGGCCAGAGAATGAGATACGCGAAGTTATTTGTCTCGTAAGAACAACGGATGGAAGGAACGCTAGGGATAGAGTCTTCGAATCCTTTGAAAGTCGTAGGATCTCGACACAACACCTTTCGGAAAACGAGAAGAGATTACGTTTCTTACGGTTCGATTTAAGTAAAAACGGACTGGGAATAAGCGATGAAGATATTAAATTTACTACGGACGCAAATCAGTTTGTGATCATTCATGCGGCTTGGATGGTCGATTTTTTGAAACCATTACCAAGCTTTGAGAGGGAAAACTTAAAAGGTGAATAAAATCTCGGTAGATTGGTTTTGTGTTTTTGAAATCTCTCTTTATCTACTGGGATGTATTAATGCTCTAAGCTGATTGAGAAGCGAAAACTGACATTTCACCTTGTAAAACTTATTTTACGTCTGCAGGTTTACAAAGCTTGCTAAACCTGCTTGGAAGATTGGCGAAGTCCACTGATGCGGTCCATCAACAAGCAGAAGCTGTTCTGCCATCAAAGTTTATATTATGCTCCTCGTTATCATCTGTTTCAAACACAAAATCATGTAATGAGGATCCCGATGGACTGGCAAGAGAAATTATCACCCATGATCCCAATCGGGCGGTAGAAATTGGTTATGCTCAGTCTAAATGGGTAGCAGAAGAAATCTGTGACGAGTTTGGAAAGGTAGGTTGTAAAAAAATTGGTTTGCAAAGATCGCAGGTTGAGGTCACCGTCTTGAGAATTGGACAATTGTGTGGAGATCTTGAGACTGGGGTTTGGAATAAAACAGAGGTAAGTTTATTGTTTAAAGATGGCCATCCCCTTCCATAATAGGATCTGGGTACCTACTGACGATCAATACTTGATGAAATTTGATTTCTCGTTGCTTGATATACGAACGAACTTCTCAGTATTGGCCACTCTTGATTTCTAGTTGCAGATTCACGGGTTGCCTTCCACTGCTTGATAGAGTAAGTTGCGTAGACACATAGCCACGTTTTCTTGGTCAGAACTGCGGCTCATCACTTCTGTTACATTTTTAGCATCCATCCTGGCTACCAGTCGATGTATGCGCGCAGGCGATCGTAGAAGACGTAGTGATATGTGCTCGAATTTCCGGACCTCACGATAACTTTCTTGATGAAGTGGAGGATCAAATTAGTTCAAAGAGAAATGAAGATAAGGGAGCAACAGTATACCATCTTTTCAATCCTAATACAACTGTTCCATGGAACGATATTGTAAAAATGGTTCAAAAACAAGTCAAACAACGTGATGAGTCAATTAACGTAGAAGTTGTTGATAGTTTGAAATGGTTAGAGAAGCTTGATGAAAGCGAATCTGATCTAAATCTGAACCCAAGTAAGAAATTATTAGGGATGTGGAAGGACCAGGTAAAGTTGTCTTCTTGACATTCTCAAGCATTTTCTGAATCTCCAAGTGTCAAATTGAATACTAATAAGTTCCGTCTGGGGTTTAGTTTTCGAGTCAACGCATACATGAAAAAAGCAAGATGGATATGAAACCAGAAGGAACAAGTTTTCATGAAAATCAAAACATAGATTCAACTTTGGCTAATATTGATTTACAATTGGAAAAAAGATGTGGACCTATTTCTGAAGAGTGGATTGATATGTTCATTAGTGCCATGGAATTGTTTCCATCATGAAGTTCAGTAATCTGAATAAAACCTCCATATATGCTAGGATGAGATTTTGGTTTCTATTTGTTTTCCAAGTGTTGCTTCTTGAATTGAAATCCACTTTTCTTGTACTACTTTTAGTTCTAGGAAGTGATGATAGTTGCTTTGATTGCTTTGTAGGATTAGTTTTGGTGAGGAGGGAAGAATCACATGTAATGTATCTATATTCATATGATGTATCTCTAGCTTCATGAGTTATAGATTTACAGTATGTCAGACTGCAGTCTAATCCAAACAATCACATCATTTTGAAGGAAGTCTTTCTGTATGCACCTTGGATGGTTATGCAATCCAGTTTTCAAATTTGTCATCAAAGAAGAGTAAGAGTTTTTTGTATGCATTCACACTTGTCACTGTACAGTTACAGGGCATACAATTGTGCCGGTGAGACTGGAGTGCTACATGATGAGCTTCAACTGAGATAGACTTCTGCTTCTTTGAAAAGTCTTACACATGTATAAGCAAGGCAATATGGACATGTAGATGGTTGTGGCTCTCTCACTCTCTCACTATCTTTATTGATAGACTTTGTTTTTTATTGAATAGTGTTTTTTTATTTCAAGTACAGAAGTTTCAGTAGACAAAAGAAAATGATAAAAAGAAAAAAGGGAAAGAGAAAAAAAGAGAATGCAAAAATAAAATGAAATAGATAGTTATGAAATGTATTGTGAAAGAAATTGAGAAAGAAAATGTTTGGACTTTTTTTAGAATAAGAGTAGATAATATGTCAAGTCTTATGAAGACCATCAACATCAGACTGTTTGTGATGAATTTAATATGTTTCAAGATCTAGATTGATCTCCAAGCCAAATGAATGATCCAGGTCCATGAGCCTCAAGAATGTGTCAATGTCAAGACTTTGATCAGCATGAGCAAAATGTTGTGTTTCCACTTCTATGAGTTCATCCGTGATCAGTATCGAGTTGAAAGGCTTTTCTAGAAGATCCAATGGTGATTGAAGAAAATTTGTCGGCTTCTCTGGATCCGGAGAAGGTCCGCATGAATCACATGTAACAAATTTGGGTGGTGGGGATTTAAAGGACACGCTCCTCGAAGAACAAAGAGTTTCAAGATCAGATGAATCTGATCTACAATGACGGGGTTTGATGAAAGTCTTGTTTGCCGTGGATGGAATCAATCGAGTACTTGTGGTTGGAGGTGTTGAGGTTGAGTCGAGAGAATTCAGATCTGAGCAACCGAGCAGTTCCTGCAGCATCTGATTGTAGATCTCGAGCTGAGGAGTTTCCCCCTCAGCAAGAGGCTCGGCAGGGGAAGGTGCTGTGATGCTCGAATCAATCGCTTCATGGACGTAAAAAGATTCCTCAAGATTGTAGTGGAACTTCCCTCCGAAAGACAATTCCACATTGAACTCGTTGTCCATATGTACAGAGAGATTGAGGTCACCAAATGATTCTTCGCCTTCAATACTGAGATCGAGATCAAAATGATCATTGTGATCACCAAAAGAGAGCTCAGACCGTGAACAGAAGCTCCTTATAAAGTTTTCTAAGTGAGATTCAATGTTTTCTTGAGATACGGAATCAATTGAATCACAAATTTTGGGAGTTGCGGATGTGAGCGAGGACGGTAATCGTGAACTGGAGGACATTTGAGGAGGTTCGGAAGAGTCGATGGGAGAAAAGCCAAGTAGATCTTCAAGCATTTGATTGTAAATTTGAAGGTGAGGAATTTCGTTTTGGGAGAAATTTGCGATTGTAGAAGATGATGTCTGAAGGCAGACCGACTGAAGTTGGAGAGAATGTTCAGGCAAACAGTACTCGTTGATTGAAGAGTAGTTTTCCGCTTGAAATGAGGTCTCGAAATCAAATTCCTTGTCGAAATGGACCGATGTGTGACGATCACCAAATGAGGCTTCCACGTCAAAACTCAAGTCAAGACAAGAATGATCACTCTGATGCTGGAAAGACTCGTCGGGATGAGTTTGTCCTTCGGCCTCACTACAAAAGGATAACTCGGATTCATTGGTTCGGCCAAAAGAGGTCGTTGAGTCGCGGGACATGGATGCGAGACTGAGAACAGGCGAATCAGTGGCCGATACGTCGAACGACCATGTAGATTCGATAGAGTGTGTCGGCATGGACTCGTCAGCATTGATAGTAGTCAAGGCGGCCGCACAAATTGCGAGCTCTCGCTGAACGGGAGATGCGATTGACATCTTAGAAAATAAAGGCAATATGTGATATCAGAAATCGACATTGGAGGAGATGGTAGAAAAACGTAAAGACGTACCTCTTCAGTTGAGAAAGAAGTGCCTGTGATAAGTTTTTGGTTAGAATGAAGTCTGACGAGCAAAGCATCATAAGCAGCCTGTGAAGATGAGTGTCAGCAATGGGATCTTGTCGAAAACACTGGAGTGAAAAGAATGATTTACCTGTGGTGACTGAGAGACTGCAACCTTTTTGAACACACACAAAGGGTTCATCAAGAACATCGCGGGCAAGTTAAGACCGAGAGAGAGGTAAGACATGGTTCTGGAGAGTGTGGTTAGGAGACGGTGTAGAAAGGTGAGGTGATAGATGAGCGAGGAGGAGTGTCAAGATCAAAAGATGAAGGATGAAGGATTAGAGGAAAGGATATTGTGGTTGGAATGGAAGTTGGGGAAAAATTGGTAGATGGTGCTCGGAAGGGAAGCAGTGGATGATATTTTTGAAAGTTTGGAGTTAGAAGAAGAGGATGATGGATGAGGATAATTTGCAACGAGTGATGGCATTTTATAAGGTTTTTGCATCTCCAGTTGTTTTGAGAATTGCAAAAATGTGGCAAGAGGAATTGTTCCTGTCGCGCGCGTCACTAGCTTGGTCAACACCTGCGTTCCTTGATCCAGGCACCTTGCCACAAGTCGACCACTATCAATCTTTCATTCGAGGATTCGTATCTCTTCTGGCTAAGCAAAAAATACATCACCACTCCCGAGTAGCCGCTCGAACTATCGATATCGCCAAAATGACCATCACTCGGCGCGCGCACCGTCATTGACCCAATCCAAGCGTCAGGTTTGAGGGTTCAGTCGAGCTGCTTAGTCGCCACCCGGCTTCCTCAAGGAAAGTACTTTGCTCGAATATGACCATCATCGATCACCCAGTCGAGGATTTGCATCACTTCTGGCTCAGCAAACCACAAATCGTGATCCTCACTAGCCGCCTGATCTGTTGCGGATTGCCCAAATCGCCATCACTCCTATTGCTAAAGCGTAGCTGCTATTGCTCCGGCTCCATTCTGAATTGAACTGGGTCACCACATAAGCCGCTGCTGAGTCCTTCGAAATCAAGTAATCAGTCAATTTGATCAGATTTGAAGTGCAAGAACAATCTTCACAACCTTTGTCGATGCCGCTCACACATTCTCGTTCTAGTTTACAGTAGTTTGGCAATATTTCAAAAACTGCCGACGTTCAGGCAATGGCCTCTTCGAACCATCCAGTCGAGCTGCCTTCAGTTTTGCATTGCGGCACACACCGGCGGCCACCACAATGAGGAAGTTGCTCGCAAAGCAGAGGACTTCATGGGTCGACTTCAACTCCCAGTGACCTACGTCATTCCGCCAACAACACGGTGATTCAGTCACACCCCGAATTCAAAATCACTGCTGAAGCAACTATAGATATGTAAACCGATACAACCGAGGGAGAAGGACGATAGGCCATCTGCATGGGTGAGAAGAGCGTTCTCTTTTCATCTCTTGGCTTCAAGTGTTCATGGAGCCCACTGTGCCATCATATTTACGGTGTACTGGGGGAGTCTCTAAGTACCCACGATGCCGATAAGCAGCATCTGATTCCTACTTCAACACATCTTCATACATCATCTCATGCTGAATAATTTTTGAAAGAGCCAGTGACTTCGAGTTGTTCATTTTACAATTCAACGTATGTTGATGATATATGTGCCAATCTCAAATAAATGAATTCATAAGTCAAAAACAAGATATATCTGATCTAAATCTAAACCCAAGTAAGAAATTATCAGGAAGGACCAGGTAATGTGCTCTTTGTGATATTCTCAAGCATTTTCTGAATCTCTAAGTTTCTATCAACCAAATCAAATACTGACAAGTTCCGTCTGGGGTTTAGTTTTCAAGTCAACCCATACATGAGAGAAGCAAGACGGATATGAAATCAGAAGGAACAAGTTTTGATGAAAATCAAAACATAGATTTAATGTTGGCTAGTGTTGATTTACAATTGGAAAAAAGATGTGGACCTGTTTCTGAAGAGTGGATTGATAAGACACTGTAAACATTTTATACAAAGAGGGAATGGGAAAATGATTAAGAGTATAGTTTGTCATAAAAGGATCTACCACTGCACACCTGATCCATGATACCCACACTACATGTGCGCAGCAGACTGAGTAAATAGGTGGCTATCACACCACAGGAATGAATGAATTTGAAGCCCAATTGAGCAAAGTTGTGGTGTCCAAGTCTACAACTTTTCCCAATTGCCAATCTTGTTCAAAACTTGTTCACATTAGGTTTAAAAGCTTCCCTCAAGCTACCCTGCCAATTGGTTTACGTGTTTCGTATATACAACATACAAAAGTCTCTTTCAAATCACCTGTGGTCCTGTGTCTTGTCTGAGATTATCTTTCTAGTCTTTTGTTATATATTTATTTCAACACTTCCAATATGTCCCCAGAGGCATTGTTCTTTCACTGTCATATAGGCTGCTCACCAACAATGTTAGGTAACACTGACTGTTTGTGACAAATCTTCAGAAATACAGACGGTGTGTTTTACTTACTAGTCAAAGGTTTTCTAGAAGGATCTTTGTCCATGATCCACATTGTCTAGAAAAAACAAAGGAGCTCAGTGGGGACAAAGTGATTAAAGTGAGTACTCAAGGAAAACTTGTAAACAAGATGTGAATGAGATCTGTGATTGAGAAAAGTTCCAGACTTGGACAACACAACTTTACTCTGGCAGTGTCATGTACATACAGGTCTGCTCATTTGTCTGCTCATTCAAATAAGTAAATCTCATCTGATACCTCATGTGAAATTTTTCAATTTGACAAAACTGTCCCAAAAGTTGATTACATATACCTCCATAGCTACTCAGGCAATACTCTTAAAGCCATTTGTCAGTAACAAAACAGATGTCAGATGAAATTTAGTTGATGAAATTACACCAAAGCTTTGAGTCAGTGTATGTGGACAATTTTTTGTAATGATTCTGTCAAGCTGAAAGAAGTTACAGCATGTATTACATACAATTCAACTACCCAGATGAGCAGATAACTGAGCAAATCTGTATGTACATGATAGCCACCCATTCACTCAGCCTGCTGCACATATATAGCGTGAGTGTTATGGCTGAGGTGTGAAGTGATAGATCCTTTTATGACAAACTATACTCTTAATAGGCTGCCCATTCCCACTTGGGATGATGTATAATGTTTAAAGTATTAGTGCCATGGAATTGTTTCCATCATGGAGTTCAGTAATCAGAATAAATTCTTTATTTGTGGTAGGAAGAGATTCTGGTTTCTCTTTGTTTTTCAGAGGTGTGGCTTTGGGAGAACGCAAGATATTCTCAGTAAGGTAAAGAACACAAGTGTGCTGATAAAGACAGTGGTATGGAGACAGAAAGAATGGATATGTTTGAACAAAGCACAACAATTAGTGCAAACAAACCTTTGGAAGAACACAAGATTTTCTCAATAAGGTAAAGAAGACAAGTGTGCTGAGAAAGAGAAGCACCTAGTGGTACAGAGACAAAAGATGAGAATGGATGAGAAAAGGAAACTACAGAGTAGGAAATGTAAATGGCTAGGAACACAGATATCCAATAATATGGTGCGTGACGTTAGCACTCTTCTCCAACAGATCAGGTATGCAGACATTTGCTAACATAAATGTTTGGAGGAAAAAAAAATGTGGAAACACAAAGGGTGCGTCTATGACGTGGCTGAAGATCTAATGGAGTTCCTGAAGTGTACAATAGCATTAATATTATAGAAATGATTATGTTGTTAGGAAATGTCTTACTCTCTTTTCAAAAGATGAGGAAACAGAGTCAGATCAGGGGGACCAAACTAAACATATGCAATGTCAGTTGAGAAACAGAAAAAACATTGGAAAGGAACATTTTTAATGTTTGTTGGGATTGATGAACATTCCAATTAGCACTACCAAGTATGAGACTAGGTCACCAGTTGATGCAACTTTACCAACTCCTTTGATACACAATTCACATACCACATTATAACAAACTCTACCTGTACTACATGTCTTGATTGTATATCAACAGGAAACACATTCATTCTTATATAGAACATCTTCTCATAACACCAAGGTACAAGCAAGGATTTGAGAAGGAGGCATAAGAGCTTATGATGTCATGATAAAAATGAAATGAGAATACTTAGATGAAATCAACTTCTGACAAAATGATAATAAAAAGGATTACTAATAGTGAAAGTTAATTATCCTAATACCCCCTGCCTCAAAAGTCTATGAAGTTTCAAGAGAACAATATGTCACACCCATGTCAATGAAGCATCCATTGTGCATGCTGTGAGGTTGTCATTTTGTGAAAATAGCAGCAGTCATTTCACTAGTACCAGTAGGCTTATACAACAGCAAAAATCTTTCATCTTCAAATTTTTCCCAAATTTAGTGATACTGGATCTTGAAATTGTTGGTTTGAGCACAAAGGATAGAGTTGACAGTCAAGGAAATACAACCTTGATTTTTGTTAAATAGTCAAATAGTTTTAATGGTGAGAGTTTTGAAATCATTGAGAATTGTTTGAAGCCAAAGCAGCTCCTGACCCGCTTCCACTACTTTCTTGTATTCTACTTCTGTAGTGGAGAGAGACACAACAGGTTGTTTCTTGGATTTCCAGCTGACTGGGCCACCAAAAATCATAAATCAATACCCAGTGATGGATCTGTAAGTTTTGATGCAGCCAGCCCAATAAGCATCACCAAAGTTGGCTGGTCTTGAGTAAGCAAATGAACCTGCGGTGTTGGTGGGTGAACCATTGGTGATCTGGTAAGTTGAGATGCCCCAGAGATAACAAAGCAGTCTGTGGAACACTGCCCAATTCTTGTTGCCGGGATTCTCAAGCTGTTGCGGAAGCTGAGAGCAAGTGAATGCTAAGTTGGGTCTTGAACATTGCACAAGAAAGTTAACAGAAACTACAGCTTGTTGGTACTTACTTTGAAGTGCTTTTTCCGTTAGTATTGATGGATCCCTTGATGTACGCTTTATTACACGGTTTATTACACCTCTTATGCACTTTGATACATATGAAAATCATATGTAATTAACCTGTAACAATGAAAATATCAATTGTTACATGTTAATAGCCTCTTCAACAAGTCTCCTTATTGGCACTTGCCATGAGTGATGTTCAATACAAAGATCCCATTTGTGATTTTGCCTTTGAGTACAGGTAGAGTAGTTTTGCTGATTTTGGAACCTATTGTTGCCTAGATTAGTTAATTCAAAAACCTTTTAGAAA